AATGGAAATGGCCCATGCCAGTTTTAGGGGCAACTGTTGGCGACTCAGATAAACTCCAGAGGGCCCTTTGAAGACCCAGCGCTCCACCTTGATGACCTGTGTGACTCCGCAGAGAAACCTAACCTTAGGCATTCCTATAGGAACAAGAAAAACAGGGATGTTGTCCCAACTCTCAGTGGCTAGGAAGGCAGCCTCAGAACTGTTTCCATCTCCCTTGCCATGTCAGTCTTAGGAATTTTAAAGGTACATTGAAAAAASAAAAAAAGGCAGGTAAGTTATCAGTAAAAATGCAGTGAAAATAAAGATAGAAATACTTTATGAAGATAGAGAAGCACTATTCTCTGGAAAGAGATAAAAATACCAAGATCTGTTTCAGCTAAACAGCAAAAGAGAATAAGGGTACACAAGCAGAGAACAAGGAAAGGCAAACACAGACTTTGCAGATAACTGCAGCTAATGCAGAACTTGACTTTATAGTCCACGAGAGACGCAAACCTCTTGCTGCAGAGAAGACCTCCTTCCTACTTTTCCTCAGATTAGTCTGAATAGCACTAAGGAAAACTAATAGCAATCAACAAGTCTTATTACCATTATTAAAGAATTAACTCACCTTTCTGTTCGCTTTCAAACCCTACAACAACTCCTCGTGCCCCATTCACCAGCCCTTGTGACACATCTAGATTTTTAGCCAGCATCACCTAGAAGGAAAAGAAGTCCCTAAGTGCTTTATATTTATAGCCTGTTCAGCATACTTAAAAATAAACAAAACCTAAAAAAAGAAAAGTTTTAAAAAGTTGTGTTTTGTTGGWTTTTAACCTTTTTGGTTTGTTTATGCCAAACAACATAAGTACATCAGGTTGATGTGACCACAGTCACAGTCCAGCATCAGAGCAACCTCTGATTTGTCTGAGGCCATCTCATGTCCCTTTTTCCTTAGAATTTTCAGCTATATTATTTTGCAGTGCTGGAAATTATTCCCCCAAGCTGTTTCAGTCCACAGCTGCAGTCACAATCTTAACACTTTTTGCACCTAGGGAATAAATTGTTCCCCCATGAACACCCAGAAGGTAACAGCACTGAAGATCCTGTGAACAGCTAAGAAGCTGAGATAACAGTGCTGTTGCAAAAGCCACCTGCCAATCTTGCCCTCCAACAGCTCACAGCAAGSAGCCAGAGCACCCAAGTACTGCGCAGCCAACAATCTCTGGGGCTCCAGACAAGCACGCTCTATTCTCTRGAAGCTTCTGAATCTGGTAGAATTTGTGCATCAGTAGTCAATGGCTTCCACTGTCCATGGCACAAGCATGTGATCTTAAATTCTCTGCCTGGACCAAGGTCTAAACCAAGAAGATATGGAGTATAGCCTTGTGTGGTCTGGCTCTGCTGTTCTRTGTTGCTAGTGGTCTGATCTATACTCTCTGCTACTCTCTCCCCTTCCCACCTTATTGCCTGTGGTCCACTGTTCTTTCTCCTCTCAYGCACTCACCTGAGCTCCAAGCTTTAGCTCAACTCTACTACCCACAGGACACTGGGCATCAATTAATTTCACTAGCACTGGATCACTGTCCAAAGCCTCAAAAGTATGCATTTCTCCTATAAAGAGATGAAAAATTACAACCATTAAACATAGGCTACTAAATGTTTTCAGGAATCCTAATATTTGCTTCCCACAGTCATTTTCCTCACCTCTCCCCCAGCAGAAAACTCACTCTTGCCTCTCCTTCCATCATACCTCCTACAGCACAACACCACTTGGCAATCAAAGCCCATCAGTTAGCAGTAACTGGGCAGTTACTGTTTTGAGCATAGAGCCAGTTTCACTTGCAGTAAACACTAGACTTCCAAAGAAGATTAAGGAAGAATCATAGTGCCAGAGAGGAAGGCAGAAATGGAAGAGAACACAGCTCAGACRAGGGCTGGTTAGAGTATGGTGGTTCTGAGATGCAAAACAGCACCAGGGGTAACATGGCATTAATGATTCACCCTACCTCACAGCAAGGTACAAACTTCCTGCATATTACCCATCGAGAAGTAGAAACAGGAATTTTTAAAACAAACAAACAGAGTGCAATGTTTTCATGGGCTACTTTGCTCCAAACCCCCCAAAATGCCTTACAAACAAAGCAGCCAATTCCCTCTTTCCTATCCTTGTAGGAATCCCATTGTATCTGCYAAGTGCTCAGTGATGAAACAAGCAGTTTCCTTTGAAGAATTCACCTGGCAACTGTTGCAAGCGCCTCTCATTAGTCAACTCCACATCATCCTTATGGGTGCAGAGCCGAGTAGCCAGGATCCCATCCCGCTCAGCTCTGTTGGTGGCAGTCTGCATCAGCAGCCTGGCAACTTCCTCTGTGCACCTGACAGCCAGAAAAACAGGATTAATGCTTAAATCAGCAAATAAGGGCAGTCTTGAACAGTCTTAAATAGTAGCTTACATGCAGCTGGTTCTAGGAATAACCAGACTGAGCTACAGCAAGGCCCAGACCTCTAAGAAGTACAAGCACAAGCAGCACAAGTTTGTGCCCTCAGGCTCTGCCCTGGCCATCAACATCCATTTCATTCCTCAGCAAAAGTTGCAAAGATTTACTCTTCAAGTGAGAAAGTGTCTCTGTTATCAGATTAGCATGTGTGAAACCAGTTTACRTCAACTAAATGCCAAAAAGCTTTCATGGCTCCTGCCTCATCTATACCCACTGTGGGATGCAACTGTAGCAAAACAAGCAACTCCCCACTGCTCCTTCAATAAGGAGCAGGGAGGATAAAGCATCGAGTTTGTCCTCACCTGCCTAGCCGGACTGCACTGAGGAGCGAGATGAAGGTCTTGTCATTCTGCCTCCGCACTTCAGTTAATTCCATGTTTATTTGGATGCACTTCCTCCAGCTTTTTGCCTGGCAAATTACTMTCTTGTTAAGAAACAGACAGATCTGGAATGAATGCAAGGATGATCTGAAAGTTTTTTTTTACCTGAAAGCAGAACTTTGTTTCTTCATTGGCCTTGCGGACTGGGGGCAGCTGTAAGAAGTCCCCACAGATGATTAGCTGAATTCCTCCAAAAGGTTCATCCCGTTTTCTTACTGCCCTAATATGGAGGGAAGAGAGGAAATGCTCTTTAGGACATAGACATAGTCTGTCAATATAAGGACACCACCTGACAGAGCTGAAAATCATCATCTTTTCTTGTTAATAAATTCAAGTAATTAAGCAATGCTACTACTATTAAATAGCAATACTATTTATTATTATTATTTCTGGGCATCTTCAGGGTGTCACTGCCAATCCTGGTACTTTGCTAGCTATTCACTGCAATGCATTTCACCATTCCACCTGAGGAACGGCACAAGCTCCTATATTAAGAGATACAGTGAGAAAGCACAGGCAGCCCAAGCTGAAACCCGACTTGGGGCAGCTTAGGAAGGAAGGGAGAACAGCTGGGTACGGCACACATGGATATTCTGTCTGGCTCTGCAGGCARCATTTGACCCCAGAGTTGGAAACAGCAACCAATACAGCTACAACTGGAGGGGTGAGACGAGATCCTAAACTCAAGATAAAAAGATGTGCCCAGCTGTTGACCTTGATCTTGGACTTCCTTCCACTCCTGTGCCAGTGATTACCTGGTATCCATTCACATAAGAAAAGGAAGAAAGCAACCTGGAACCTTGGAAAGAGTAATCTCTGTTGGAATTGCTTGACCTGACAGTCACTCACCTGGCCACGGCCTCCAGCTTGTCGAAGAACTTGCCATCCACCATGGAGATCTCGTCGATGACGAGGTGCTGGCAGCCCAGCCAGTGCTGGCGCACTCCGGGTCTCTCAGCCAGCTGGATGCACTGCTCCAGCGGTGCCTTCCCGGAGCCGATCCCTGGGAGGGGAGAAGGAGGTGAAGCCCACGTCCCTCGGGCACCCTTGGGAGGGGAGGGTGCCCGGAGCACCGCGGCCGTGGGGCAGCAGCGTTACCCGCGAAGGCGTGCAGCGTGGTGCCACCCACGTGGCAGGCGGCCACGCCGGTGCTGGCCGTGGCRTAGGTGCCCTTGGGCGGCAGGGAGCCCACGATGCGCTTCAGCAGGAAGGACTTGCCGGTGCCTGGCGGGGGGCAGAGCAGACCCTTGCGGCGGGCGGCTCCCGGCAGCGGCGGGAGGGCGGCGGGGCCGCGCGGCGCCTACCCGCGCAGCCGGTGAAGAAGACGCTCTTGCCGCTCAGCACCGCGCCCAGCACCGCGTCCTGCTCCGCCGAGAGCCGCGCCGGGGGCGGCCGCGCCGC